ACAAGTGTGTTGCCTTGGGTTAGACTTAACAAGCATCTTCAGAGCATCAATATCAATTCCAACATGTCGGCCCTGCCATCACAGTTTTTAAGGCTAAAGTCACCTGAACGAAATTTGCTGAACCATCGTTGATATGTACGAATGTTCAAAACATTTCCATGAACTTCTTTGATATTCTTTGTAGCTCCAGAGGCATTGTTTCCATTCTTGTATTCAAACAGCATTACGTGCTGAATGTGTGTCTCGTCTTGTGCCATCAGTATAAGGAATTAGAGTATGCTAAACTTTACACATAATATAGGCTACACTAACGTGACGTTTAGGTGGTTCCTTTAACTATTATACGTGATGTACATTTTTGGGGGGTGTGGTTAATGAAAGTGTTCCAAAACACGACATTAATTTCATGACGACCTAATATAAGGGTAACTTTTGAGCCACAATAAGGCCCATTGGGGCATAACAACAGTAATGCATCAGAAACTTTAAAAAGCTGTATTTTCTGTATTAACAATTATTTGTAACAATTCCCAAAATTGTTCCATTGTTGAATGCTGTCTTAGCATATTGCCTCTCCCGCAGTCAACACTTTGCAATTATGAAAGTACTAATGCGTGTGTTTCTCAGGACCATTATTGGCTGATGTAGTAATATGTTTATAATTTTAAACAGTGTGGACGTTTTTATCACTCCTAAATATTTTATAGATAGGGAGTAGTTTTAATAATTTGTCTAATCTGGTGTGAAAAAGTAGTTTTAACCATGGAAGACTTTTTAAAATTCAGCATTTGAATTTTATGACATTTGAATTTTGTTTATCAGCATTAATCAGTAATTCATATTTTTTGAATTGTTCAATTTGGCACATCATCAATTTCTTCCTCTATTTTTAAATATCGGATTACTACAGTTGTCTGTTCTTTATGTGAAACATCTGGTGTTGAATCAGCAATTACAGAAAAGTACTTCCCCTGTTGAATTTCTTTTAAAATCACCTCTTGAACAAATGATGCACAAAGCTCAATAAACTCATTTTGTATACTTCGTGAAAGGTAGTGCACTTGCATGTGATGATGACTTTCTTGAGATTTTTTAACTTGTGTTACATGTGGTTTCAAAACAGAGTTGTATTCACTGAGAAGCTCTATTATGCCCAAAAAGTTTCCATTTGCATGGTTGCCAATATGCTGATTTGATTAAAAAAAGGCTAGACCTCATTCAGAAAGAAACAGAACAACTTTCAAAATGAATTCAAGGATTTGTTTCCATTTTGCATCTTTGGCATGTAGCTCACGCACCAATAAATCTTCCACTGCGGTTTTGATAGTCACAACTTCTTGGGCACATCTCCATGCTACATGGTTTTCTTTATGACTCAAAGAATTTTCATGTGCTGGAATACGATCTTTTAACTTTCTCCAGACTCGATACAAAGAAATGATACATTTGTGCTGCTAGAACTAAATCTAGACTCTTTAGTATCTTTTTCCATAAAAAAACATGGAGTGCAAAAAAGAGCTTGTTTTGACTCGCTTTATCATAACCAGTCCTTTTTGTAAATCTCACCATTTTGACTTCTTTTAACCAACAAATGAACAGGAAAAGAATGATTTTGTGCATTATTTGGAATATCAAAATGAGTCATTTTGATGAAAGATTTTCTTTTGCACAGGGTCATGTCTGTTAAGAAGTCCAATATCATTACATATGGTTGAGTCAAGTGCAGCCATAGGTGCAGGTGCATTCGCATCTATTTGTTCTTTAGTTTGCTCATCATGCACTTGTGCTTGAATATCAAAATCACCTTGTCCCTGTGGTTCTTGTTCTTGCTCTCTTTCTGTTTCTGATGATAATGATGAATCTTCACTCTCTAGACCTGGAATTTTCTGAGTAAAAAAATCACTTATTGGCTTGTAGACACTAAGTGCTCCTTCACTTTTCTTCTTTTTTATGCCGTTTACTTGCTCCATTTTCAAAAACCCTTTTCATTTTGGTTTCTGAAACAATGAAATTAAAATTACATAATAAATCACATAGATGAATAACAAAAAATTCAGTGAGTGAAGTATCAACTACCTCATAATTGATTGATTAGATTCTAAAAAATTTTAAGCTGTTAAAGTCATGGAATATATGTTCTAAAATCTATTATTATGGCAAAAATAGAAAAAATATGAGGTTCGAACCGGTAAGGAGTGGGTGGAGGACAGGTGGCATCAGCCTAGTTTTTATCTACATGACGTCATGCTCCAATACTTCGTGGAGAAAAGTGTGGGAGGATTAAGGCGGACATTTTGAGACTCTTAAAGAATGGTAGAATTAGCACTGAAAGGGTAACGTTTGTTCACTGCCATGGACTTGGCTCAAGTCAAGAAACACAGCCAAAGAGTTAAAGTGCTCTTGTAGGTCCTGCATATTTGTTTCATTCTCCAATTGCTTAAGGTGTGTGACAGTTGAACAGATATGTTACGAAAGCAACATGTATACACATGTGACACTTTTTCAAATGTAGAAACTTCTTGATTATGTTGTGTGCTGTTGCCTAGGGAACAGTTTTTGTTACTGACTTTTGTATTTGTAGGTTCTATCTTATAAAATGCTGCATTTTGCTTACTATGGTTGGGGTATGACTTGTTGCAGGTATTTTTCTGGATGGTTTTGTGCCTTAAGTTGATCCATGTTTCAGTGTTTTCCAACATTATTAGATATGAGGAATCACCCTGTATTGAAAATTATAAATCTGTAATCAGAACACGTCTTTATAACTGAATATTTTATGTATCCTTCCCAAAAGTGATAAATTTTCTGTGTATCACACTATCTACATAATGCTAAACAATGTCCAAATGTAGTTTTGATACATTCTGTTCATCTGCAATTTTATATTTGACTGTGGTTTTCATGTGATTTTCTGATTTCCAAAATTGCTTTAATATAACATATTCAACTCTGTATTATCGTTTGAGGTATTGTTTACATTTCTCTGTATTTTTTTGCTGTTTTGAACAGAATTGCCCATTTTGTGAAGAAAGAAATGTTTTAATGAGGATGGAAGGTTTCATTCACTAAATTTTATTTTCAGGAAATAACAAATGATACCATTCTTCACATTTGTCAGATGGCTCAGATCTCTGATGAGCCAGAAATTCAAATGGCTGTTTTGTTTGCTATGACAGGCTGGAGCAAAAGGTAAACTGTTTAATGTCAAGAGAGTATTTAATAAAAATGTAATTTACTGTACATGTAATGAGACTGTGTGGGGTGTAGTGGGATAGTGTACCAGGCTTTGGATTGGAAGATTCAAGGGTTGAGTCATATTATGTAGTTGAATAAAATTCACACTTTCAGCTTGGGAGCATTGTAACTGTAACAGTGAATCTCACTCTTCAGTTAAGAGTGATTATATTATAGAGCTTAGATGCTGCTGACTGGTTGCTCTTCTTCTGGTAAGTAATTCTAAATTAGAGATGGTATGTTTGAAACTTAGGGGCCTTTGACATGGTAATTTAGCTGTTCAGATTGAAAATACCAAAAGTATATGTAGTTGTAACAAATAACTTTATGTTGTCATTAAGTTGTTTTGCAAGTTGTGAATTTTTCTATTGTTCTAAAAACTCATTTAAAATATTTTTATTGAAAAAAAAACAAATGTCAGCTGTTTTCTTGAAAGCAGTGTTTTTCTCATCTCACAAAAAATATTTTTTGTTCAATACATTAAACAGAGAAACTGAAGGCATAGATTATTTGAGGTGTGAACACTGTCTGCGAGAAAGTGCAACTCATTTGTATGGCAGTGTATCATTGGAGAATGTTGAAACCCATGGTTTTGAAATGAGTACAGAGAGTGAAGGTATTCTTGTAAACTTGGAAGATGATACATTCTCACCTGGAGATACCCAAAAAGAGCTGGACAGAAAATTTATGAAAGATCAAGCAGAGTCACATTCTTCTGAAGGATATTTACAAATTTTTGTGGGAGATGATGTAGCAGAAGCTGTACAAGAAATGGTGGAAGGTGATAGTAAAGAAACTATTAAAGAGTTAATAGAAGATGTTATGTTAGAAATCATCAATCAAACAGTGAAAGTAGTTGGAGTTGCATCTGATCAAAAGATGGTTGAGGAAGAAAGAGCAGAAAATATGAGAGAGTTTTTAACAAGTGATACTCTCAAAGATACAAGTGGAGAAGACAAAGAAAAAACAACTCTCCAAGATGAGGTAAAAAAAAGATCAGGAATTATGAAAGGTACCACTGAAAATCTTGTGGGATATGACAGTGCAGATACTGTTCACAATGTTATAGAAATTGAAGGAATAAATGTTAAAGAAATAACCAAAAATAGAACTTTCAAAGAAACAGTGAAATGTTACAAAGAAGAAGCTGTTGAAGAACTGACAGGAGTAGAAATAGAAGTAAGTGTAAAAGATTTTAACATGGATAAAAGTGTCAAACATATATTTGATGATGACAAAAAAGAAACTGTTGAGGAACACGTGGGAGAAGCAGCAGCAGAAAATTTAAAAGAGAAGAAAAAAAAAGAAATTGTTGAAGACACAGTGCAATGTGAAAACATTGTAATTTTCCAAAAAGGAGGGAAAAAAGATGATGATGGAGAAGAAACTGTTGAGGAATACATGGAAGAAACAACAGAAAATGTAAAAAAGAAGATAAGAAATGAAAGCGACAAAACTGTAATTTTGGAAAAAGGAATGAAAACAGAAACATCAAGAGGTGTTAAAGAGATAACTCAAAATAAAATTGTTAAAGCTATACTGGAGACAAACAAAGAAGGAACTGGTGAGAAACCAATAGAAGAAGAGATGACTAGAGATGAAACTTTCAAAGATGCTGTGGAAGATGATAGAAGAGAATCTATTCAGGAGTCAATGAAAGAAGAAATGGCAGAAAGAATGAAAGAGCATACAAGAAATGAAACTGTTCAACATGTTATAGAAAAATATAAAGCAAAATATGTAAAAGAAATAGCCAGAAATACAACTTTTAGTGAAACAATAGAGAGTGACAGAAAACAAAATATTGAAAAACTCATTGAAATAAACTTAACCGAAAGTTTAAAAAAGATAGCCAAAAACCAAATGGCTAAAGAAATAAAGGAAGAAAATAGAGTAGAAATGATAAAAAAAATACAGAGAAAGAAACATCAGAAAGTTTAAAAGGAACATCCATAAAATATGAAAAAGTAAAAGAGACACTGAAAGTTGTTAGAACAAAAACATTTGAAGAAGCATTTGAAAGTTTTGCTGCAGAAACTGCCAAAAAATCAGTCAATGATAAGGAAGCAGAAAATGTCATGGACATAACTGAAGAATCTGTGCTAAAGTCTTATGAGACAACAGAAGGTAGCTCAGTTGTAAGTGTGAAAAAGCCTGCAGATTATGAATCATCAAATGCTGTAAAAGAGAGAGCTCAAGAAGGTCCATTAGATTATTTTGAAGAAATAAACATGGATGACTGTGCTGAATCAGTTCTAAAATTAAAAAACACTAAAGAGATAATGTCTATTTCATCCAATGTCAAAGTTGATGAAACCAATAAACAAGAAACTATGCTAAATGTGCCTGTTGACCTGAGCATTTTGGACACTTCAATCATAGGGGAAGCTCCCCCTGCAGTGGGAAGTATTGTGAATTTATCAGAAGTTGAAGATACAGAAGAAAGTACTAAACCTATTGGGTGTTTGAATCAATCATATGTTACTTCAAAACAGGTGCTTCTAGAAAAACCTGAAGGAGAACAGAAGGCTGCTTCTCTAGGCACTGTTAAGACAACAGTTGGAAAGGAAACTTGTAAAGAAGAACAATCAAATAGATATTTTGTTAAGAAACCTCTAGTAGAAATGAGACTTAAAAGAAAATCAGATTCTATAGTTCCTGAACCTGCAAGAAAGAAGAGATGTCTGAAAGTGGTAAGTTCATGTATTAGTTTACCACTGATTTCTATCTTTTTGCATCTGTAAAAACTATCATTTAAAACAGTACCTGCAATTATTGTTAACCTGTGACAGTGCCTGTAAAAGTTACGTGTGTGTGTGTGTGGAATGTTTTATGATAACAGTTTTTGTTTATGCTGAGTTTTAAATTAGATAAATAGTCTAGAAAAATATTTTAAATTAACTTTTTCTGTTTACAGTTTAGCTATTGAAAGCTGGTGGAGCATTAGAAACCAATAGGCCTAAAATTTGTAACAAAAATCATGTTAACTGCAGACGTTTGTTTTTACCACATTCCTCTTAGTTTGTACATTTTAGGTTGAAAGTCAGGGGTGTGTAAAAATAGCACTAAATTTATCTTTAAGTCTTCTGAAAGTCACTACCCCAAGAGGCTTTTTGTTCAATACCAGTACTTGTCAGTTGGGCTGGATGATGAGAGATAAAATATTTTCTGAAATACTATTTATATATGCAGTATAATACATTTAAAGCTATGGTTTCATCATGAAAATCACATTAACTGCAGGTGGGTTTCTCCATGTTTCTCATAATTTGTCGATATCAAAAAGAGGCTTTTAAAAATTGCATTTCAGTGACTTGTGGAAAACAAAAGAAAGATTTGAAATGCTATTTTTACACATTTCTGATTTTGAATCCAAAATGGACAAATTAAAAGGAATGTGGAAAAAAATTTACAGTTAACATTATTTTCACCACAAATTTAGACCTACTTGTTTCTATTGCTCCGCTAGCTTTCAGTTTTTTTCCTCTCACATTCTTCTTAGTTTGTCCATTTCACATTCAAAGTTAGAGACATGTAGAAATAGCATTTCAGATCTATCATTTGTTTTCCACAAGTCACTATCCAAGAGGCCTTTTGTTCAATACCAGAACTTGTTTGTTGGTTTAGATGATATTGGATTCAAAATCAGAGGCATATAAAAAGAGCCTTTCAGTAACTTGTAGGATCCAACTTAGTTTAAGCCATAACTTTGAAAGTAATATACTGCATGTATAAATAGCATTCCCAAAACATACTTACCTCTTATCCACACTACAGTTATTATTTGACTGCTAGGATTTCCTTCCTTTGCCCATCTAAGCATTGGTCTTAATTTTTCTTGATTGCTCAAGTCTTTTTTTCCCTTGGTGATATCTGTCTCCATGTACATCAGTGTGCCGTCTATCCTGGCACTTCATTCAGGTATTAACACTTTTTCTTAACAAAGCATTCACTAACAGGTTTCTCTGCACTTCAACTGTTGGAGATACTTTGAGTGTTCTTCGTGTTACACAGTTGATTTTCGTAAAGGGAAAAAATAGTATTTTTCATTTGGCACTCTGATATAGGGCGTGAATGCCTGGATTATTGTTTCCAGCAAAAAGTCAAATCGGGTCTCTCCTATTCCACCTATGATATCTAGCATTGCCCAACAGTTGGGGGAGGGTAGACATATATATTCAGTTGTGTTTCTCCAGGGTGCTCTGAGGCTGCATTTGAGGGTATTCCTGGACATTCTGGAGAGAATTTAGATTCACTTTTTCTTGCACCTTCTTTTATTATGTCAGCTTCTCACGAGGCCATATTTGAATTAGCTGCCTCTGGCTCCTTTTCTTCAGTTGTTCTTTTGAGTGTGTGTTGTTTTAGGTTTTCCCATGGTTGATTTTGAGGCTGCTCCTTCCTTGATAGCTGAAAGGTCTAGTGATATCGTGGTTCATACAGGAAAGTTTACTGCTCACTTACGTGAAGGGATAGATATTCCTTGTTTACAACATTTGTCGGAACTATGTAATGTAGCCTACCACTGCCAGGTGGATGCGTATTCAGACTCTCAAAGAATAGAACTGCTCCTTGAAATATGGGGTTCTAGAGCAGGGTCTGTAGTCAACCTCAATAGATCACAATTTTTTAGGATTTGTCTAACCCTATATATGGTGTTAAGGTATTTATTATCCTTCCAACATTTGTCGGAACACTCTCAGCAATCACCACATCAATTTAGGGAGTTGGTACATTGTTAGCATGTACTTTGGTTTGATTGTCAGTTTCTGCACTTTCCCTAGTCTCTTTGTGGAGTAGAGATGCGTTGTTGGTGGGTGGGTGTTTGTCTACTGGCTGCTGCCCTCCGTGTGTTCCCAGTTTCCTTATTCAGGATAATCATCTTCGATCTCGAGTGGTGGTTAAATCAGAATAATACTACAATAGGTTTTCTTCTGCCTCCACTTTGTCCAGAGATCTATCTCTTCACAGATGCCTTGCTTCAGGGATGGGGTACATATCTCAATGGTCAGGAATTCCATGGCCTATGGACGAATGATGAGGCTTCCCTACACAGGGCAGTGTCTCATGGTCTGGACTTATTAAGAGGAAAAATCATCAGGCTTCACTTCAACAATTCCACAGTGGTTTCTCACATTTCCCGTCAAGGGGGACTTGGTTCAGGTCTCTTTGTCATCGAACCTTGGATCTTTTTGGGCCCAATCCTATCATATCACCCTATTAGCTTGCCATGTTCTGGGGGGGGGGGGGTATTTGGTGGCAGGTTAATTGTCTTGACCCAAATGAATTCTCCTGACAGAATGGATTTGCTGTCAATTTGATACACTAATGATCGATATTTTGGCCACTCATTGGAACACCCAACTACTAGCATTTGGTCTCTGGTACCTCATCCTCGGGTATTGGCAATAGATGCATTCAGTCAGGACTGGACAAGATTACAATGCTAGGCCTTTCCACCGATTTAAATGTTACCCAAGGTACTAGATATGATTTGTTCCAACCCCTCGTCAGGTCCTGTTGTTAGCACTGGATTGGTGGTACCTTCAGGAATGCCCACCTCTTCGGCCATCTATGCTGCGGCAGCCTCGATTTAGCATCGTACACCCAGCCATCCTGAAGCTCAGGCTTCATGCATGTAGGTTTTATGGTCCTTTGCACGGCTTCGGGGTTTAACTTCTAAGGTTGCCATTTATACATTTCAGTCTTTGCTTAGTCCCTTGATGGACTTTTATCAACAGAAATGGCACACACATATCAACAATGGTGTATTGAGAGGAGATGGAACTCATTTCATCCAGAAGTGCCAAACATAACTCGTTTTTTGACCTGGTTCTTTAACAAGGGTTTTGCATTTTCCATAATAGCTTCTATAAGGCAGTCTTATCAGTTACTTTTAGATACTCAGCCAAAAATTATTTGATTCCCCAGTGCTCTCTGGCTTCCTCTAGTATTTTAGGGTTCTTCGTCCCAAACGACCATTTCAGTTACCTAACTGGTTTAAGAAGGTGATATTACATGCTCTTTCTCAACATCTGTTTGAGACCTTAGCCTCATGTACCATATATCACGTTTCTCTTAAGGTTTAATTTTGGTTGTTGCTGGCCTACAAACATCACTGGTCAGAGTTGTTGTGCTGATTGTGCACAGGACACTTTATCATTCTACCTACATCCTCCTATACTCAGACAGGTTCTTCTTCTCTAAGATACTGGCAGCCAGTGAAGGGGATAAATCCTTTTCACTGATTCATCTGACCACTATTTCTCACTTGTATAACCTATCGGATCATGATCATTTGTTATGTTTAAAATTTTCTCACTGCTAAAACAAGCTGCTGCAGTTCCAACAAATTAGAAACAAACTATACAAAATTACAATAATGAATCTAAAATTTGAGCCTTGTACCTTATTGATTTGATGAGATAATGAATTTGTCAAACCCACCTGAGAAGCCCCCCTCCCTTATCTCTGAATTTTGAAATTGTTTGCTGATCAACATTAAGATGGCTGATGGCTATATTTATAAATAAAAGCAAGAACAGGCTCTCTTGTATACAAATATTAAAATTTTGGTTCAGTTTTACCTCCTAAACCATTAGTTGAGGAGAATAGTTGTTTTGTGTTGATCAGATTTATTGCTCTGAATAGTAACGTAATTTTTTAAATCTAAGTTGTTCTAGTGACGTATATATTGTATGTCTTCTTAAATGCACTTTTGAAAGCTATGTTAATTTTTTTTGTTTTGACACCCATGTTTGTGAGACATGGCCTTGTTGACAAGGCTTTAGGAGAACATCTTAGATTTTTGAGTGAAAATGGGTTGAGTATGCAGCAAGTTCTACAAATCCTTGTTTTTTATGTATATTTCTACTTATTGTTATATATTTTTTATAAGTGTACCTAAAATGTAATTATCAACTAGCAAAACTTCAGAAAAGTGGAACATACATATAAATTTCACTAGTGAAAATGTAATGTGAACCATGAAACTCAGGTCACCTGCTGTTTATGTTAGCTCTATGAGAAAGAGCTAGTGGGTTCCTGCTATGATTTACTGTTTTTGGTGCAAGGGTTACTGCACTAGTGGGCATGAAGTACAGCAATAAAACCATGAAATTAAAAGAAAACAGATATGAAAAGGTTAACAGTTGATAATATTAAGATATATAATTTGGTAGCATTCTGATCAATACTGGAGTCAATGTATAGGATAAAATCATTTTATATTTTGATATATTGATGATTTCTCTAGAGTTAGTGAGAGTAGAGAAAATATAAGGTTTTATAAAAAAAATACTTTTTGATAGTCATTTAAGAGGTTCTAGAGGATATGTAAATGAAATATGAAAACTGTAAGAGGAAAAGAAGTATTCTTAGCATGAAATCTCCTTTCCTCAGACTGATGTAGTGAATGTTTTGGAAATTAACAGAGAAATATTTGGGAGAAATATTTTGTTAAAAAGTTAAACTTTTGAAACATTAGTATGTCTTATAGTACATGAATATTAGTACTTCAAGTAGACTTTTCTTATAGTATAAAAACAATAAGAAAACTATATTCCCAAACATACGTCCACTGCAACTTATAGCTATTACTCGACTGCCAGGATTTCTTCTTTTCCCATCTAAGCATTAGTTTAATTTTTTATTGCTTGCTCCAGTCTTTTATACCCCACTCATTTGCCCTTGATGA